GATGCATCACCCTGTAAGTCAAACCTTAATAAAGATGCTGCTGCACCTGTTACGCGATATATTTTATTATTTTCATTTTCTATTGAATATATACGCATATCTCCTAATAAAGATTCTAAATGAAACGCTTTTTTTGAGTGTATGTTCACTGCAAGTGGCCATTCACGTGTTGTTATTGGGCGACCCCATTGCCGTTCAGATGAATATAACTCTAATACAGATAATATACTACAATCATTCCATGAATCACGAATACATAGATCTTCATAAGTTAATATATCCGGTAAATTTTCTGTATTTTGTATATTTATATTCAACTCATTTCCATATTCATCTGTTACTACTTCTTCTCTCTTTATTGTTAATCCTTTTACTTCAGAAACTAAATTACTTAGTGTTTGCATTCCTTCTTTTGTTAGTATATTATCATCTCGTGTAACAAAGAAATAATTAAAACGTTGGGGGCTAAATGTAGACTCTAACAGCTGACGAACGTTGTGGCTAGGAGCACCAGGATAGCTGTATAGTTTATACATATCGTATTCATTTTTTCTGAAGAATATACCTAATGCCATTATTGCACTTAATAAAGAAAATCCTATTATAAATTTCCATGCATGATCATATACTATCATCCCGTGCCGAGCGAAAGCAGCATCAAGCATCTCTGATCCTTTCTTTTTTATTCTACTGAAACGCTTTCCTTGTCTTTTTGATGAAATAGGAGGTTTATATGCATTATTTTCAGTTGTTGAATCAACGGGAACTGCTCCTGCTGCTGCTGAGTCGCAGGCTTGCTGCTGCTGCTGCTGCTGCTCATGCTGCTGCTGCTGCTGTTGCTGCTGATGCTGGCGACGAGATATACTACCTGGAGAGAAAACACCTAAACCAGAAGGAGGAGGAATAGAAGAACCATCAGCCAGTGGCTGCAGATGCAGCTGCTGGCTAGAGGGTAAACCGTCGGGATTCAGCATGATGGGTTTGAGTATATATATAAAGATCTGAGTCTGAAATAAACTTTCTTATGAATATAAATATAAAAAAAAGAAAAAAAAGAAGAGAAATTTCTGAAATATATAAAGAAGAATTCGACCCTCAATGCAAATAAATATGAACGTGAATATCAATCAAGAGGAAGTTGCACGGGAATGCAGAGCGGCGGGGGGGGGGGGNAAGATGAATATGGCGATGAAACCGAAAAAGAAGAAACCCAGCTGCGTTCCCTGCTCAGTGTTGAGGCCAAGGTATTGCAAGAGAGAAATTATTTTTTTTTTGCTTTCTGCTGGCCTTTATAGTCAGTATATTTGAATTTTATATTTATATTTAAGAAATGAAGAAAAAAAAAAAAGAAGAAAGCAAAGGAAACACCACCTGTTCTATGTTGTGTTTCACACAGTAGTAATATGCTTCCTGCTCGTGATGATGAATCCTGCTGCTATTGAGCTGAAAAAACCCGGAAACTTTTGCAGTTTTATATTAAAACCCTCAGTAACCTGCATTGAATTAGAAATTCAGGCTAAAGAGGAACTTATCGAGCCCCTTTTTTCTTGGTTTCTACCTGGTGGAGGAAAGGGCGGTGATGAGCTGCACGCCCAGGCAGAAACTGCCGCAAAAGGCAGCGTTTTTTTCGCTTTTTTTACCTGAAACAAGAAGGAAAACGTTTTTTCCTTTTATTTTAAATGTAATATTCAACAAAAAGAAGATAGAACAACACAAGAAGAAAGAAACCGCCCATTGCTGTTTCGCTCGGACCAGCGGTGCAGTTGCAGCAGTGACGCTGTGATAGGCACAGCAGCAGCCTGCTACTGCATGCTAAACAAGTATATAAACCCTTTTTTTCTCTTTTAAAATATTAAAAATATTAATTTTTTATTTTTTTCTTCATTTATTTCCACTTATTTCTGTAGTTTTCACTCAACATAAACCAAACAACCCGCCCCCCACAGCAGCACCGCTCTTGAGAGCTGCTTCAGTACTCTGAATACTGCAGCAGCAAACATCGAATTTCCTCCACTAATAAAATAAAATAACAAAATATTATAAATTATTTAATAAAAATAATTAAAATTTATTTATTTTATTTAAATTCAGAAAAAATTTTCATACAAACTTGAAATCACCAGCGCCCCCAGCGGTGACCCAGCTACACACAGATCTGTCTTAGCCGCATTTAGCATTAAGTTTACCCGCGTAGAAACTAACACATAAATATAATATATAAATATATATATATATATATAAATATAAATATAAATATAAATATAAATATAAATATATATATATATATACATATATATATATTTATATATATTTATATATATATATATATATATATATA